AATAATAATATATATATATATATATATATATATATATATATATATATATATATATATGTGTATGTATGTCTCACAACTCGCGATCAAAATTTCTATGACATATTCCCGACTTAAAAACGAGATGAAAATTTTCATACAAAAATATCGAGATTATAATAGTTTTTAAATTATTAGCGATTAGAGTTGACTAATCATAAAGCTGACAATAATGCTAAAATTATATATAAAAATAAAATATCATTTAAAAAGTGAAATTACATATAACTTGTACAATTTCTAAATTATTCTTTATTCTTATTTACTTGCAATTTATATTTGTGTAGATTAAGGAACAATGTAAAAGCTAGAGATTGTTTTGTTTTGATAAATGAAAAATATACTTGTAACACAACATAAAGGACAAATAGATAATGTCCAAGTAATATATACATTTAAATATGTAAAACAATTAGCTAATAAAGGCAAAGTAAAATTAATTAATATTAAATACATTAATGTTGACAATATAACACACACACACACACACACACACACACACATATATATAACACATATTTCATCACTTCACACGAAAAAATTGCCTGTTACAACATCCTCTATGATTGGAAAAGAGATGTATGTGGATCCAAATCCATTATATTGATATTATATTGAGTATAACTGTTAAGTAACATTTGGTTAAAATATCATTCATATATGATTCATATATGGCTACCACCAAAGAATTATCGCTCTCTTTCTAATGTAGTCTACAAAGCAAATAGTGATGATTGAGAGATCTATAGAATATATTTGTATGGCATTAAGAATTCAGTTCCATTCAATATAGACTATTATATTATATTATATTATTATATTATAGACTAGATCACCACCATCTTGTAAAGAGTTTTTACATAAGATAAAATGTGTGTTACACACATTGTGATGCCTATTGTTCACATTGTTAAAAGTGTGGATAAAGCTTGCAAAACGGCTTTATCTTCAAAGCATAAGATTTGAAGGTTCTCTTTATTTTCAAAGGTAACATCCAAAATAAAACATTTTTCGATTAAATTTTTAAATTGTTACTATACTATGTATAATTATAGTTACAGTTAGTTAACTGACATGTTATGACAATTATATAGCTGCTATCCTCACTAGGCTTGAGGTAGCCATACAGGTCACTTCAAGAATACCATAGTTTCCGTAACTCTCTTATAAGTGGATAAGCGAAAAGCATTGTTATTCTGTTATGGCAACATTCTAATTTCTTCTTCGTGAAAATCGAAACAAAAATTTAACTTTAAAAAGATATTTGTTTGGTCTCTAAATAACAAATTTATGAATGTATGTGAATTATAGGTTTGGTCTGTTTTTGTAAATGTTATAAGACTTAAAAATTGTTTTATTTTTTTAATTCATATTGATGCATATTGATGCATATACGCGCATTACTTCAATCAGTATTTTATATATTCTTCTTATAACAGCTATGTCCTCTTCCCTTTCTTCCGTGTATATTTCCTTCTTTACATTCTTTCGGCCTCTGATCATAATTTTAAAATTGCAATTCTCTCATTCTCGTATAAGTAATCCAAGCACTACTCAAGGCTGAAAGTGGGCACGGGAGACACACCCACACATGTTAATGCACGATTCTAATCAGAGACTTGCACAATGAGGCTGACGTTAGCTATAACTATAATCAAAATTAACTACAACGATGTGACTTGGATGAAATATATAATTTATATAAATACTTAATGAAACTAATAATGTTAATAATTTCAACTATCACGAAACAGCATCAACCCGCACAGATCCCGCTTGATTTTCTCACTAATCTAATATCAAATTGCGTTACGCAGAACCCTTCGATTTCTGTATCGCTAATTTGCCGGTTATATCAACAGGCTCTGTCCGATTTTGCATATATAT